CATTTGGCAGCAGCTCCTGGCACGCGTGTTCTGAGTCAGCACAGCCCAAGAGCAAGTCACCTGGCGCTGGCAAAGCCAGCAATGGGGCCATAAGCGTTCTTCCACCCCCAGCAATTTCTTGGCCCGTGCAACTGCCCACTTCACTGAGGCAACCTGCAGCAAATCAGGCCAGGCAAGAGGCTGCTCTGCTGCAAGCAGTGACCATCACACAGAAAGGGGGAACGGAGCAGCGGAGGTGTGTGCTAAGGAAAGGGAGAAAGAGTAACGCAGCAGGGATTCACTCTCCTCCACAGCGAGGAGAACAGTGGTTCCACCGGTTGTGAGCAAAGCTGGGGAAGGGAACTGCTTTAGAAGCAAACAAGGGTCTCTTGTGTTATTAATGCTACAGGACTCAGAATATTAAAAATCCGTAGCTGATAATTATCCAAAATCATTAAATTCCATATAAATAATGGACTAAGTGCCTCCCTACTACGACAGCGATGATTGTAGGACAGCAAGGATGAGCTTAGTCCAGTGTGTTTAGATTCTGTGTTATTTTAACCAGATGCTCGGGGCTTTGTTTTTCTTTAATGGATAATAAGGGCCGTCCAAAACAGAGTTGCTGCTTTACTTGGGTTTCATTGAAAGAGACACTACTAAAGGGAGAGGAAATCCCCAAAATGATACTCAGTGATTAAGTACATAGAATATAGGATTTCAGTGTTTGCAAATCCTTTTTTTCAAATGAACTTGTGGCACTAATCCTCTAATGGCATTATTTCTTTGGAATATATGCCGGATTAAGGAGTCACAATGAGGCAAAGTACAAAAATCCACATTAATCTCTCGCCAGTGGATGCTGTGTGGGATGCAACTTTAACTTAAAATTGGTTCTGTTCCTAACCTTGCCCCAGGTCTACAGAGACAAGAGTGGATATAACCAAGTGTGACACTGAGCACTCGGCAGATGGTCACAAACCCTTTAACTAGATAGGAAGGGGAAGGCATTTATTATTTTTGAACTCCAAAAGCTAAGCCTGCCCTGTGCTATCCGTGACGTACCGCAAGAAGCAGACGCAGAGATCTGCGAGGCAGGAGCAGGGCACGTGTTCGGAGGACAGAGCACAGCAAGGCCCACTCTGGCAGCTGACAGGGGCACGGCTGGGCCTGGCTGCTCTGATTTATTGCGTGTTCACAGCACGGCCTGCACTTGCTGCAGAATAATTCTAACGTTTTCAGCCCAGTGTAGCCACCTAGCTCTAGTTATCCTGCTTTGTTTTGGGATAACCTTGCTGTCCCCTCTTCCCTTGTATCTGCTAGACAAAAAAAGGTGAAGATTTGCTTTCTAGGAAAAGGAAACTGGGTCACTGCGAAACTACCTTTCCCTCCTCCTTGGGTTACAGCGATGCTGTCACGGTGCCGTGAGGTCTTTTCACTATCGTTCAACAGCTTGAAGTTGCGAAAAAATTTCTGAATGAGGAACACATCACCTGACATACTGATGTCAGAGCCCAGCCTAACCACTGTAATTGGTGCTTAACATGCTTAAGGAGTTCCCCAGTTCCAGCCAATGGAGATTATCAAATATTGCCATTCCAGGTTCTCAGTGAACTGCAGCAGGTGTGAAGTGTCTTGGGCCAGCAGATCCTGGCAGATATTCACAAAATAGGCTGTTTTGTCTCTCTTTCGTCATTGGCCACTCCGTTGTTAAGCACAAGAAGTAGAAAAGAGCTGTTAAATTCAGTGAGTTCCTTATCAACAGAAATGGTTGGGATTTCCCATAATCTGTGCAGCTGAAATGCCCAAACACGTGAAGTGAAGTGAAGTGAAGTGAAGTGAAGTGAAGTGAAGTGAAGTGAAGTGAAGTGAAGTGAAGTGAAGTGAAGTGAAGTGAAGTGAAGTGAAGTGAAGTGAAGTGAAGTGAAGTGAAGTGAAGTGAAGTGAAGTGAAGTGAAGTGAAGTGAAGTGAAGTGAAGTGAAGTGAAGTGAAGTGAAGTGAAGTGAAGTGAAGTGAAGTGAAGTGAAGTGAAGTGAAGTGAAGTGAAGTGAAGTAGTGCACGGGGAGGTGATCTTTCCCAGCGGACACAGGTCTATAGTGAGGTGCTAGTTTCAGAAACTGGGACAGGACAACCACTTCCTGATGTTGAAAAATCCTAAAACCAACCTGGAGATCCTTTCTGTGTGGGAATACAAATGTCTCCTCCATTCCTGCATGGTTCATCATGGTGGGTTTTTTCCCTACTGTAAATGTACTTCTCTTGGGCAGGAGGATTTTCCCGATATTCACTTTTTCTTCTCTTATCCTGTTGGCTCCTGTCAGCTCCCTGTGCCTCATTCCACCCTGAGTCATTCATATGTTGACACACTGAGTCAAGCTTGTCCTCACGGCTGGTGTCTGCTCAGCTGCTTTCAAAGACTAGTTCGTTTTGTTGACCAGTGTTATCATTCTCCACCAAACCCACTCCAGTTTGCATATGTCTTTTATGTATACTTATCAGTGAAGAGTCCCTTGTATTATATTACAACAGGTGCAAAGGTGAGCAGGAAGTGATAAGGGAAATGGAGAGTTTGCCACACGAGGGAGATGAAAAGAGATTGGTTTAACCTACAGAAGTGAAGAGACCCTAGATGAAAAAGAATCAGCAAAGCCAAAGAAATTTGGTGTAAACAGCCATTAGATGTTTAAGCTAGAAATTGTAACATTTACTGTCAAGAAAATCGGGTTCTAGGGCAGATGGACAAAAAAGTTGTAGTGAAGTTTGTATGTGATGTGTCAAGTGATTGCATCGTGGTGTTGAATCCTGCTGCTGCCTACAAGCAGGTTGTGCTGACTGATGCGGTGTGACCTCTCCTCTCATGTCTCCTGTTGCCCTAAACCAAACAGGAGCTCACTAGTCCTCTGTCTTCCTTTTTCTTACTGAACTAGGTACCATCCTGCTGACAGCACGGCTTTGCTCGGCCTCCAGCGGTATTTCTGACCAGTGTGGACAAAAAGGGTGGGAAAACAAAGAGCTTTTCTTCAGGTAGTCTTGTAACCTGATCGAGAAGGTGAGTCAGCCTCTTCTAACAGCAGCTGTTTCGGGGCCATGCAGTGGGGAACGTGCAGTATCAAAGCCTGTGCTGCCACTTCCTGATTTCTGTCTTGTGAGTGATCCAGGCTGGGACATGATCCGAGCATTTAAATGGACTTCTCACCCCCTCACCAGAAAAGAGAGGCCGGGGACAGCTGGCTGACGCTGGGAGACAGTGCCGAGGAACAGAACCATCGGGGAAAGAGCCCACAAACCACCTGTGCGGAGCCGCTCTGTCGAACTAAGGAAGACAGTTTTCTGTCAGGAGTTTCTATGTGGAAAGTCCTATGAGGGAAAGAAGTGAGGTTTTGTTTGCGTGTCATGGCTCTTCTCCTGCAAGCCCTGAAAATCCTGTAAAACGTGAAAGAGATCCTCAGGCGTATCAATGGAAAATACAGGTATGTTTGTTTAAAATAATGCCTCTTTACAGAGTGAAAACACAGCCAGGGTAACCAGTGTTGCTTTACAGCTCTGGAAACGTGCGTGTGCATCTATGTATATTGTTTTGTATAATTTTTGTAATAAAATACAACTGTGACAGGCTCATTAAGAGCAAGACTTTAAACAATGCATCTGCTTTTTGTAATTTTAAGTGCTCTGCCCTTGAACATTTGTATCATGGCAAATAAATTCCAACCCAGTAAGAAAATTTACATGCAAATATATACATCAGTATATGTAGCGACCTTCATATACATACACACGGAGAAAAGTATGTGTACCTAAAAACATTTGATTTATTTTGGTGTTTTCCCTCTGACCTGACTTTTTGTATAATACGAAAACTGTGCAGGTCACGAGGTTTCTGATACTTCTTCACGTGTTTCTCTTTTTTGTCAAGTTGATGCCAGCGACACTGTGTATAACCAACAGTTGTAATGTACTCTATGGATGACAGCAAATTGTGGAATGAGTTCTGTGTGAGCATCTCTACTGGGGCAGAGGGAATCTGTGTGAGCACAGAAGTCTGTTCTGCCTGTTACGGGATCGAGGGCTGAGCCCCTGCAGTCAATGGCACACAGCAGGAGTTGAGACACGTCTTTTCCACGTAGTCCTACCAAAGCAAAAGCTAGTGAATGCTTGCTGAGTTTTTATGACTTCTCTCTTAAAAGTATCTATTTGGGGACACGTGCTAGAATTAAGAGTAAAGACAGAGCATTAAATTAATGTTTAGAGAAAAGCAAGGCAGCTTCACACAGGATGATGCTGTAGCTTGTGTAGTATAAACAAATATGGAAAGAATGTGTATGAAATGAAATGTCAAACTTAAACTAACCTGTGAATTAATCATTGGAACTGAGGTCGCTATAGTACTGAATTGTTCCAGACAAGCTCTCTGGGGGATTTGTGTTCTTCCAGCAGTGACACCCTCCCAGTGGCAGTAGATACGCTGTCTGGTTGTTTTCTGCACTATCGCTTCAGCTTTGCTCTTGGGTTGATGGAGGTTTGTTCACATGTTTCACCCTGAGCTTGGGAGCCTGTGACATTGTTCAGGCAAGAGTGTCCTTGTACTCCCTGTTGCACACCTCCTCCTCTCACCTTCCTGACCGCCGGGCTGGCCTTTGGCGTGAAGAATCACTTTGGTGCCAAACTTAAACCTGTTAGCCCCTCAGAATGGAGATGTCTCAGCCTTGCTTCTTTAATGTGGCCACAAGACAAAGAACCAAACCCAGAGGTTAAATGATGCACTAACAAGGCAGCGGAGAGCGGCACTCTTACCGTGGAGAACTGGGACCACTGAGTCTGCTGGGCTAATTCCCAGTTCCTTTTGAAGGAGAGGAAAGGGTTTCAGAGTCCAGTCTACCAAACAGTGCTGTTCTGAGATCAGCATGGAGGGAATCGTAGGTAATTCTCAGTGCACCTGCCATTATGAAAGAAAGCAGTCGGAAGTAAAGGTTACTAAAACTAATTCTTTCTATGTCTGCTAATCCTCTGAAAGATGATGTTCAGAACTGCCAGGATAAGCATGAAGAGGACATCCTTAAGAGTTCCCCCTTTGGCTTTGTTATAAAACAGTTCCAAGGGAAGAGGTCTTCTGGAAAAAGAAAAGAGCAGCCTTCAGCCATCAAACAATTCCTCAGGGGCTTTGACTTTGGGAAATCTGAAGGCAAGGACAAAAAGGAAATTGAAGAAACAGAAATAAACAACTCTGGAGCTGATGATCAGAGAGAAAAGGAAGATCTCTCTGTAGCAGGTAATGAGGGGACAATAATGAAATATATGTGCATGTGTATGTGTTTTAATTTCATAGAAAATCAGTTGTTTTTCTTGCTGGCCAAAATCCTGTGCCTTGCTGCCTACAGTTTATCCTTTAGCCAGCATTTGCTCCTGTCTGGAACTTTGTCAAGGATATACCCTCAAACTTGATAGGTGTGATGCGAGGAGTGGACATTAGGAAGAAATTCTTCAGAGAAAGAGTGGTCAGACACTGGAACAGACTGCCTAGGGAGGGGGTTGAGTCGCCGTCCCTGGATGTGTTCAAGTGTCGTTTAGATGGGGTGTTGGGTGAGATGGTTTAGGGGTGACCTTGCAGTGTAGGGTCAGTGGTTGGACTCGATGATCCCAAGGGTCTTTTCCAACCTGAATTGTTCTATGATTCTATGATCCATGTTGCTGAGGAGGGGTAAACTTTTGGGTGACCTCCTTCTTGATCTCTGATGTGAGAGATCAGTGCTGGATCCAGCTCAGCAGTTTCAGAGATTTTTTTTTTGCTGTTTCAAGCTCTGAGTAGCAGCTTGGTTGGTATTTAAGAACTGTCTCTGCCCACCCTGCTGCTAAAGTGATCTGAAGACAACAAGAGCACATGTTTCCTACCACTTAATACTGGTGAGGGGGAGGGGAATGGAAATTCATCCTGTACGTTATTTTGCACACCAAGAACACTCTTTACATCCACACCAGAGCGAATGAGGCTGTTTCTAAGAAGGAGCTGGAAGGTGAGGCTTAGAACCTGTCCTTTGTGCTAAGAGTTTTGGGTACGTTTGGGGAAACAAGGAGAAGATAGCTACTGGGAGTGGGATGGCTCTTTGTGTCATTTTTGGCTGGTTTTTTCCAGCTATAGATGAGATGAAATTACTGATTTGTTAAAGAGTTTAGCAATGAAAATAAAGGCAATTTTGCTTGCTGTACAAACTGCATGGAAGAAGGTAAGTGGGTTTGCTTTGCAAAGCCAAGAAAAGCAGAAACTGCCTTACAGTGACAAAGTATGAAACTGAACGCAGGCTGTCAGGAGAGAAGACACTAGCCTGGCAAGCACAGACTTTTGCAGCAGTGTGGCTACAGCGCAGGCACACAGAGGTGCTTGTACCACTTGTGCATCCAGAACAGCTGCAGCTCAGAGTTTTCCATGAAGTTCATATCCTGAAACTGGCAGTGTAAACATCCAAAGTCGCTGGCATGAGGTAGCTTGGAGCTGTGTAACAAGAGATTCTTTTCTCACTTTGCATCAGGATCTTTGTAGTGATCTGATCTATAGTGATCCTAGCACTCAGGTTATTGATCCACACTGATAGAGCTGGGTTTACTGATAGGTTTAGTTCTTCCAGTAGCCACAGACAGGTTTTACAGGTTTTGTTAGCGGAGGTAACCAGGGTCCTATTTATTTCTTGTTCAGATGGACTTTCACATCTCACTACTGAAGCAGAGTCACCATCTGGTGAGCAAAGATTTAACCAGTTCATGCAAAAACTGGGAAAGAAACCCAACAGCAAGAATCTGGATCTGAATAACTGTGCATTAAGTGCAGCAGATGTAACAGAGCTGGGTTAGTACACATTTTATTTGAATGGTCACTTCAAGCATTTCTCTAATTCTTGTCTACTCAGTTATTCATTCTTCTCTTTTCCCTTTCTTTGGTACATGCATGGCTTTATTTAACATTTCATTTGGTGGTCCTAGGTCCCTGAGAAATGTTAATTAATAAATTATATAAACTATGTAATGTGTATATAAATACAAAAATCATAGAGGTCTGTGGGCAGATGAATCTCATTACATTCAAACTACAGATAAGAACATGAGATACGAATTGTCATGGTTTTGTAATGCTGTGTTGGTTGCAAAAAGTATCTCTGAAGATCTACTGCCATCCAAGGTGTGTGGGTAACGGGTAAACAGAATCCACTTCCTTTTTTTTTTCCCCACAGCTTCTTTACTGCCATTTCTCCCAGAGCTGAAAGAGATCAGCCTGTCCTGGAACAGTCATGTTGGCGGGACTCTGAAAGTTCTTGCTGTTCATTTTCATCATCTGAACCTGTTAAAAGTCCTTCGACTTAACAACTGCAGGCTGACAGCTGAGGATGTCATCTCCTTAGGTACAGGATTTTATTTTACGTTTACTTCCAGACAGCTTGGGTCTCATGTAATCCATCTCATCTCTTCCCACATCCTACTCCTGCTGTTCCACACTGGGCAGTGTAAACTCCTGCTGTGAAACAGTAGAAAGAACTTGGGCTTGTGAGTGACCTTCTACATGTGAGTAGCTCTGCCAAGTTCATCCCTCAAACTATGAAGCATTCACATTCAGAAGGGAACAGAGTTCAGTCCTGTTTGCAAGAAAGCATGTTTTCAATTTGGATGAGTATTTTGTGGCTATCTTTGATATCTAATGGTAGACAAAAGAACTGAAACAGAGTCAGTCATAGTAGGGTCAGCTGAGGTCTTCGTGCTGCAAGACAGATGAGTGCTCATCACAAAAAACCATCACGGTCTTTTGGAGGAGACTTAAAACCAGCAGTGGTGCCTTGGAGCTTTATGACTTGTTTTTGCAAGCCTGTTTGCTTACTTCTTTGCTTGGAGTGCCTGCAAGCCTGTTTTCTGCAGAGCACGAGATGTAAAGGTTTTAAAGGTGATGTTACGCTCTCAGATTGTGACACTGGGTCACTTTACCTGTGGGAGTTTACTGTGGAGTGGGTCTCTGATACGTATCTAAAAGAAGGGCAAACTCAATCAATTAGAAATTGTAAAACCTACTGCTTATTTTGCAAGTTCTAAAAAAATTATCTGAGTTGTAAAACCAGGGTTTATGCCATTTATAACCAGGCTTTTTCCAGGAAAGGCTCAGAAATAAAATGACATGTATGGTGGTAGCTCAAAAGCAGGTCATGCTATCTGTTGGGGAGGAAAAATGCATCTCTACAAAAGCTGGTGAAAATGATTGATCTAGTTTTGATGAGGGTAAAATCTATGTTTCATTTTCTGTCATGTTTGTTCAAATTTATTTAATACTCTTTCTCATACTTTTTTTCCCTTTTGAGTTCTATTGGCTATATTTCCAATTGATTTATTCTGCTGGTTCTTCTGTGCTGTTTCCTTCGGGCTTTGCCTCTTCTGAGACAGATACAAAACTGATCATAGGACTTGAATTTCCGGTCAAAATGGGATGCCCTTGACGCAGCAGTCAGTTTGCATTGATTCTGCCTGCGATTTTAAGAACAGCGTGAATACTGCCTGTTTGACTGTGCCCACATTGATCTGTGGAAAAGCGGCCACTTGTGGGCTCAGCACGTTCTGCTTGAGAAATCAATGGCTCAGATATAACCATAATATCAGCTACTGCTTTGTGATTGCTCCGAGCTGTGACTGTGAGAGGGAGTAGGAAACCATTCCTGGAGTCAGTCTTTTATTTATCTTCTGGGTGGAAAATGTGTCTGGAATGCCAGTCCCCAGGTCAAAGAGACACGGGCTATGCTGCAGAGGCAAAACCACTTCTCGAGTGCAGAGCACTGTTCAGTATTCAAGACTGAGGCAGTCATTTAAAATAAATGCAAAAATAAAAATTAAGGTGTGTCCTTTTCTCTGAAACAAAGGTACTCACAACAGAAATAATTCTTTTTCTATTAGAAATCTTATATGAAGAATTAATTATGAAAACACAGAGACATGAAAGGGTTTTATTCTTAAAATACAATTCTCAATTATTAGGTTGATGACAAGCCTTCAAAAATTTGTTTATGACACTTTGAAATTGCATTTGTATATAATCTGATTAATTGATCCTTCTTGATAAGGAATTTATGCAAATATGCATCTACCTCCCTCCTCTACAAAGGAAGTTAGGAAGCTGGATTTTGCAGTGGGATTTTGCAGCGGGATGTTAGTCTTGAAAAGAAGCACAATGCAGTTCACATCAGCAGGTGTGTCAAGCCTGGAAAAGGTTAATTTTTCTGAAGGTAATCAAAATTAGTGCTATCTGAAATCATGGGAAAGTTCTTTTGTGTCAAAACAACGCTCATCTCGACTTCTGATGAAGTGAGTCAGAAATTTCTGTCAGAAATGAAACTTTTACGTTTCAAAATATTTTTGAGAGGGCTTCTTTCATCCCCTCCAAAATGATGTGTGGATGCAGCACAGAGGATGCTGGAAGCCTGCCAAAAAACCCCACCAAAACAGAGCAGAACGATATGGGACAGTAAATTCAGCCTTGTCACTTGTGTTGATTTCCCTGTAGACTGGACGTTCTGGGTCCTGACACAGGTCTACAGTGATGGCCAAACAGTCTGATGAGGGTTTGGGAACCTGAATAAATCTCAGGTCTGTGTGTCTTGTGACAATGACTTGAGATAAATGTTGCTCCTTAGACAAGGTGAGAATTTATACAACATTGCTGCAACAGCAACAATTCATGGCATATGCCAGTTTTCCTGGGAAGCCAGTCAAAACTCAGTAATTTGAGAATTAAGTGGCTAACCTTCCTCTTTAATGTATTCCAGACCTGTATTTTTGTCTTGCGCTGAAATTGATACTTAGAATGAATCACCTTACACTTCTGTTACAGGAGAGGCATTTGAAATTATTTCTCAACTGGAGGAACTGGATTTATCATGGAATAGTAACATAGGTGGAAAACTGTCACTCTTGACAAAAAAACTCCAGAAAGGATGCAAGTTAAAACTGCTGAAACTTATGGACTGTAACCTGACAGCAAAGGATGGAGAATCCCTTGGTACGTGTTTCCATGTAGCTGGACTGAGACTGGCTTCACAAAAATGTGACTTTTTTGACTTAGATGATGACTGTATTGAGCTCAATATTAGTGGGAAATTAGTTAATTTCAGGCTCTATGGTGTAACACTATTTACCACAGTTTTGAGATTTAATGCACTTTCTTCTGAAGAAGAAAGAAGTTCTCTTTTTCTGTTCATGTGAGGTAGAGTTGAGGAGAAGAAGAGCTCAATGTAGATCACAATTTGTTTGCCTCAGTGGCCCAAGATTTCTGGATCCTTTGAAACCCCGAGCAAGCTATGTGTGCCAGAGTTTCCAACACTGATTGCTTAAAATTAAGCATCTGAATGTGTAGTTCGCTGTGGGATGGGAAAGAAGGCCCAAAGGATGGGAATTTAGGCTGAGTTGGCAACCATTCATTCCCCCCTCCTCGCTTTTGCCTCACCATAGCTTGATCCTTGGCGTGCTTTCGATCTGATTCTGTGTTTTGAAGATATTTTCTCCCTGAAGAAAAGCCCCTGTGCTCTCATGTCCATTGCAGGAGATGGCCCATATGCAATATACAGTCCCTATGTCTTTCACAATTTTTTTTTCACTCTCTATTCCAGCTTTTTATTCCCCTGTACTTTTCTAACTGTACTGATATTTTTGTAACCTTTATTTTCATACAGATTTTTCACTGATTTTCTTGATTCCTATCTGATCTTTGTTTTGCTGTGGTTTGTAGGTAGAACAGGAACTTACTAAGTCTAAACCACACATATAGACAAATTCAGCCTACCTTTTCCTGTTTGTCATGGTGCTATATTTTTCTACAGTTCATCTGTATGTATTCCAGATAATTACCAATTCCAGTTTTATTTTCTTTTTTTTTCCCAGCTGAATTTCTAAACGTGATCCCAAACCTCGAAATATTAGATCTTTCTATCAACAAACACATCGGCTGCAGCATGAAGGTTATCGCTGAGGATCTGAGAAAAGTGCCAGGCTTGAAAGAGTTAAACTTGCACATGTGTGGATTAAAGCAAGACAGCCTCCAGGGCTTAGGTTAGACTTTTTGTTCAGAAGGACTTTCATTCTGAATAAATAGTACATCTGAAAGCCATTTAAGAGAGGCAATGAGGTGGGATTTCGCTGATGGTTTGGCGTTATTAATGGGCAATCATTATTTGCTGTTTGAGGATTGATAAAAGACTACAGAGACTTGCAGCAGGAGATGCATTTGTCTTCTCTGAGCTCAAGCATGTGAAAGTCAGTGGGGAGAGAGTCACCTTCCACACCATTTATTTGAGACACATCTCGGGGTAGATTAGTGGCTCTCTGGACGTGCTCCCTCCCTCCCTACAAAGACCATAGGCAGGGGCACAGCCAGGCTGTGAACTTCTAACGAGCTGATCTCGCTCGCACATTCACCGTCGTCACTTATGGAGTGTCCGGTGAAGCTGTACAAAACGGGCTTATTACCTGTGTCTCTCCCTGGTGGGGGTCTTATGCTGGCACTAATTAGCACCTCTAGTAGTAATTTCAGCAAAAGGCTGAGGATTTATTGGATCTGAGGGATGAGCTGGCCTCACCTTCACCTGCTCTTCCAGAGAAGAACGGAGTTGCATAGGTGGGGAAGCTTTGTGGTATTACTGTATGTCTGCTGCGATTATATGCTCAAGCTCAGTCTAAGAGCTTTGCCTGCAATACCTTGTGCAAACTTTGACGTTAAAGTGAATAAGTGCTAAAGCTGTGACATGCACTGTTGTAGCAGCCTGTGACCAGCATGCTCCTGTTTCCATTTCAGACGCTGCTTTACAGCACCTTGCAGAGCTAAGAAAATTAGACATATCGTGTAACAAAGAGGTTGGTGGTGGCTTTAAAGACTCAACAGCTCATTTAGCCAGCTTGAAAAATCTTGAAGTCCTTGATCTCCACCAGTGCTGTGTAACAGAAGAGGACGTGACCATTTTGTGTAAGGGCATGTTGAGGGAATCCATTAAGAACCTAGATTTTGACTTCTGAAAATATCTCAAAGGTGTAAGAGATTCTACCTATCAGATCTTAGCACATTTTTCTCAAAGATAGCTTTCTTGCTCAATATGGAATATTTTGGGTTTGTTTGTGGGTTGGTTTATTTTTACTGAATCAAAGGAGATTTCATGGTGTCTGATCCCATGTGGAGCTCAGGACCTGAATCCATCTTGATTCAGACCCATGACGGGAATGTAGGAACTGCCACCAAGCACTGTTGGTTTTTATAATCAGTAATTTTAGAAATATCCAGGAGCAGTTTCCCTGCTGGTATAAATTGGCGTGGATGCAAGGTGTGTATGTGCATGTAAGTGTAACTGCCTAAAACTCCCGTAGTGAACTCTGTGTTGAGTAGAGAGTGATGTCAGAAGAACTTGCGGTGCTGCTGCTGTGTGCTTTGTAGAAAAGCTGAAGACTATGATCTCCAGGTTGAATTGCTCCAACTCATAAATACTGTGAGGAAGAAAAAGACATTGCCCACTCAATCAGATAGTTCATTTTTCTGTATGCATTAGCATAATTCTTTGACATTGGTTTTTACTCTTTAGAACAGCAACAAAAAATCACATGACTCAAAGCTTATATTGCTCACATCTTATTTTCCGTGATTAAGAATAGAGTTTGTAAAGCTGCGGATGAAGCACTGGGAGATATTAACTATTAGTAACAGCAATAATGATTTATTTTTAATTTATTGACTAAAAGAGAATTACAACATAAATATAAAGGAGTTTCAGTTAGCAGTGAAGACCTTTGGAAATAAACTCACCTCATTTAATATTAAATTCCTTACTTCACATACAGAATTTCAACAGGAAGCCGTGTTGTGACAGCCTTCCACACAGTATGCAATACCTAATTTCTTAATCATTCCTACTGAAAATGACAAGGCTATTTACGTACTAAAATATTGCTCACCATAAATTTGAGTGTCAAAACTTGGCCTTGACTTTTGGATTGATTTATAAATAAAAGAAATTATGTCAGGCAAACATACACACCCTTATGTGTTCTGGATCGGTGACTGCCTAATAAATACTTCATTTTTTTCATAGCCCAGGTGATACCTTTACTCTCCAGTCTTCAAGAGCTGAATTTATCCTCAAATAAAAATGTAGGAGTCTCATCTGATCCTCTTCTGAGCAGGCTCAGGTTTTTACCAAAGTTGAAGTCTGTGGCCATCAGCAATTGTGGTTTAAGTGAAAAGTCATTTTCATCACTAGGTAGGAATAGTGGGGGTTTTTTATGTGTTTTGTTTTGTTTTTCTTTAAAAGTGTGTCTACTCTCTGTGTATTCTTGTGGGACAAAGCACTTTGTTTGCCTTTGGATGAAGTGCAAAGATCTTGGTTATGTTATACCCCAGATTCTGAGTGAAAAAGCCTGTGATGAAACTGTTGCTTCATGGGACCTGGTTACAAGGGAAGACCATGGTATGTCTTCCCCCATTACACCTGGATGGGAAGATAAAGTCCTTTTAGGCCTTTGTCTGATACTGAGCTTTCATATGCTCCCTAATTTTGGAAAAGAAAGGAAAAGGTGATTTCATATCATGCTGTAATGATAGTTTAGTTGTAACATTGCTTTTGCAGTTTAGTGGGGTAAAGTTTTGACTAAAGGTTTTTCACCTCACTGCAGGTAAAAGTTAGAGTTAAATATGGGGCAATGGAAGAACTGGAGCAATGACTGCAGTGGTAGAAAAGATACTGCACAGCCACGAAGAGAAGTCCAGTCTAACACGGGATATGTAAATTCAGCCTCTTTTGCCTGCTTATTGCAGATCTCGGTGGATTAGCAGCTGCACTGTCGCTTTGATAGGTGTTCCATATGGCACATAAAATCTCAGTACAGAGGAATCTTAGTTCCTGTGTGTTGTGCACTTATAGTTTATACTGTTAAGTAGTGACACTGCAACCTGTAGTAAAACTCGGCTGCCTTCAGCAGAAGCAGTTGCACGCTAACCTGGTCTGAGGTCCCTGCAGGAAGAGTACTATATTTATATCATTAGAATTATGCAAGAGTGACATCATGGAAATGGGTGTTGTCAAAAGATACAGAGCATTTCACCTTGCGTGTTGAGTTCAATGCAAAAAATAAATTAAAATGTTGTCTTTAAATTGATGTAAAAAGGTTTAAGAACAGGCTGTTAATTTAAATTGACTTCAGGGGGAAAAGGTCAAGCCAGTAACATAAGCAGGAAGACAAAAAAACCTCTCCCAGAGTCCTTAAAGATTCTGTAGGCAGGCCCTTCTTATGTTCTTTTGTCTGACTTTTATTAGGATAAAATAAGTAATTCTAAGCACAAGTAGGCAGCTCGTTAGGAGCCTTTTTACAGGTGAATTGCCGGTGAGGTGTCTGTTGAGGCCATGTTGTTTTCTCTTAGTAAGTACAAGTTGCTGGTCTTAATCTTTTCAGCTGAGGCTGCCCTTCACCTTCCTGAACTGGAGATATTAGACCTTTCTTGGAATAAGTGCGTTGGTGGAAACCTAAAGCTGCTTTTGGGAGCACTAAAGCTTGCAACGGAGATTCAAGTGTTAAGACTGAGCAGCTGCAACTTGGTGGCTGAAGATTTGGCACTTCTAAGTACGTATAACATGGTATTTTCTAGTAGTCAAGGAGCCAGGGCATTTAGACCGCAATTCAGAAGGGACTTGTTCCATGGGCTGAGCGTATTTTTGCACAAATTGAACAAAGAAGATGGAAAATGCAGCAGTATTTTTCCCAGAAAGGGTATTCATTCTGCTGAAGGCTGTCCTGTACTTGCACAGTGCAAAAGCTGAAAAGGATAAAATGTAAAGAATCTTTAAACAGTTTTGTCTATTAATACAAAAAGGCAGCACTTAGGAAATGTAGGGTTTGCATGTGGGTTTTTTTTAATCAGGTATTTAAAGCTGTCTGTGAGGAGTTTTATATTGCTCAGTTGCTGGTTTTTGTTCGGTAATTAATAGAAAATGTTCGTGCTGACAGCCAATAATGCAAGCACCACCAGCTCAGTCCATTAGGTGCTTTGCAAACTATTGTGGGAGAATTTAAACAGAAATACTGTCACACACCTCTTAGCTGCTGAGAAATACTGGGAAATGGGAACCTGATGAAGGAATAAATTCTAGGATCCTTAAACAAACCTCATTTGTTTTATAATCATCCTTGTGATTCTGTGGGCCTGGCTCATGGGTTTTGAGCTCCCGAGACTGGCCATAGTCGTGTGGCAGCTGTTGATGCCCTGTAATCTGAAGGCTGGTGAGATGAAGCCTGAACACTTTTGGCTTTACAAACATCACCCTTGATGGGTGTCTCCTTTGCCAATTGTACCTTACGGATCCCAGTTCCCTTTAGGGTTTACTACACACATTATCTCCCCCAGTGAGAGGTGGCTGTAATCATGCAACATCATCTACTTCTGCTTTCCTCTTTCTCAATCTCCCTGTGAAGCCTTGTCTGCCTCTTTTAATTGGCACTTGATATAACCTCCTTTCAGCTGACTCAAAGGTTTTCAGGTTGCCATGCAATTTTAACCTGATGTTTCTGTGCCCTTTGAATTGTCGTTGTTTGAAATGATGTACACTCCTTTAGCTGTGATAACACAGTCTTTCTGAGATCAGCAGCAGGGGATTTTATGTTGAGGAGTTGAATTTTGTTGTTTGACTGCTGAAAAGCCTTAAATAATATGGTATTAAAATACTATTCGTCTTACTTATAGTTCTTTTAAGCAGTTGCCAGGATGTACTAACTATGTCTGTGTCTATCGTTTCTTGCAGCACTAGTGACGCAGGACGGCCATCTAGCCAGATTGCAGAAGCTGGATTTGAGTTATAACAACATCTCTGATGAAGGGTGGGTTGTTTTCTGTCAAGGTTTAACAGTATTCAAAGAACTCTCGGAGCTGGACATCAGCCTTCGCCCATCGTCCTGCCGTAACTGCGGGACGTGGTTCAGCGAGTTGTTAGCAGCACTGACCAAGTTGCCAGCCTTGGCCGAGCTGGGGATGCAAAGATGGGTCCTCTCAGAATTGCAGCGGGAACAAGTGGAAAGCTTTAACCGAGACAACAAAAGAAACATTCGTTTTGACTGCTGAGGGAGGTTGAAGGTTTTTGGAAGACCTTTCACAAACTGCATGTGAACCAAGTATTATGAGTCCGAGAAGACTGCCCGCGTTTTAGGAATCTTGTCTCATGAGTGCTCTTGAAATAGTTCCACAATTATAGAAAACTGTTTCTTAGCTTCCTGCATGCATGGATTATTCCATTTAATAACACATTCTTTCAGATTCTCTGGGCCGTGCTTACGCTTCTGTATACGCTTAATCTTCATGTTGTGAATACTGAGATGACTGCTGTCAAAAAACAGTGATGGTTTCAGATGAACTCGCTGCAGGTTTGCCAGTGGAGGTGTGTGGCTGGGGTGTGTGCCAGTGGGGATGGGGGTGCAGGGAATGTGGCTTCGTGCATATAAGGTAAATGCCTCTAATGTGAAAATACTTGAAACCTCTGGTTTTGGTTTCTTCTCCCCTAAAACTCTTACCTCTTTGTGAACGCATTAAATCTACTTAATTGTGAGATCTGGAAAGCATCCCAATGACTCAGGATTATATTTGGAGTCCAGTAAGGAGAGCACAGAATTTGTTCTGCCTCTGCTCTGGCCCTTGATGCTATCTCATAGTGTAGATGAGTCCTGTCTACAAATTTGGCATAAAATCAAGGTGAGAAACAGTTGACTGGTGTCTTTGCAGGTCTTGGGGGCAAGGGAAGTGCCGTGGTAGGTTAAATCAGAGGTATGTTGTACTATCTTGGCAAGGATTTTGAATATAGAGCAATCCATAGATGTTCTGCATAAGGCTGTGCAAAGATTTCAGGATGCTTCACAAATGCTCCTTCTCATCCTGAGCTGTTTCAGCCTTACCCAGACTGCATTTTCTGTACAGCCCCTCTTATGACATGCAGCACAAAACCAGACTTCCAGATCCAAGAATCTAATCTCGAGCATATGAAAGCCAGTAGGAATCCCCGCAGTGCCTCCATGCTTCCTGCATTCTGGATTATTCCATTAAACCTTTGCAATACCTTGTGATGTAGACAGTGTTCTTATTCTTACCCTAAAGATGAAGGAAATAAGCAAAGTCTGTTATTCAGAGCCACAGCTAAGAGCACAGCACCCTGATCTGTGCCCGAGACTTGTTAGAAAAAGCACAAGGTTAGGAGTGTGACTGTTTTTTCTTTAAAAAAAAAAAAAGATAATTTATTTGGCATTTTATTGTATTTGCTTACACAGAGCCAAATTCTGGCATAGTCACTGGTGTAGTGAAGCATGTTAACCCACACGTGAGTTCAAAGACTGCAGTGGGATTATTCATTGGTAAGGTATCTGTGCCCAAGACTTGTTAGAAAAAGCACAAGGTTGGGAAGTGTGACTGTTTTTTCTTTAAAAAAAAAAAGATAATTTATTTGGCATTTTATTGTATTTGCTTACACAGAGCCAAATTCTGGCATAGTCACTGGTGTAGTGAAGCATGTTAACCCACACGTGAGTTCAAAGACTGCAGTGGGATTATTCATTGGTAAGGTATTTTAGGAAGTAAGGATATTAGATCTGCCCACTGAGTGAGGAGTCTTAGAGAAATCCTGAGGCAGCTTGAGGGATAAAGTACTGCTCAATTAGCTCTGAGGATATCTACATGCTGCAGCAATCTCCTGGAGGAGAGGCACAGCAGGATCATTCAGTGGCACTCTCCTAACTCGCTAGGGCCCTGCTCCGCAAGTTCTCCCATGCAGACACAGATCAGTATTGAGCTTTCAGTCCAGGTGATCCTTCCAACAGCAACTTCTGGCTGGTCAACCAGCAGTGACCATGCTGTGCTGGTACCTCTTGATCACGTAATCTGTGATTTTATGTGAGGGTCTCTGTGGACTTCCTGGTTCCAGTTTCAGATGCACTTGGCTGCCCCAGCTCTGAGAAATATGACATGAACTGAAGCGTCTTGGTCAGAGGTAGCAGGGAGTTACTGCAGTGTATGATCAGTTGTTTTTCAGAGAGACTTTCAACCTCTGAAATGAAGCGAAGAGCCCCTGTTTCATACAGGCCTCATGAGAGACTTTCAAGCGGTGACACAAGGTAGGAGAGTTAGTCACGTGTGGAAGTACGGTTATCTCTAACAGCAGCATGCCAACCTCTTCTCTGAATCACTTTCTGTACTGTGACCTTCCTCTTCAAATCTGCCTTTGGTCCAACTGGAAAATTGATCCTTTACCTGTTCCATGAGAATGTCTCCGAATCACTTCTCACTTGAACCTCTTGCTCTAATCCAGCAGGGCAGCTGGCCTGTGTGTAATGTTGGTATCTCTTATAATCTCACTGAACTGGACTTCAGCACTGGGGTTCCTTGCTTTGTCACAGCTGGTTCCTTCTTCTCAGCCCAGCGTGGATTCACTGCTAGCAACCTCTCTGCTTGCGGTTCATGAGCGCCTCTTCTCAGTCCTTTGCCTTCTCATCATTCTGTCATATCTACTGTGCCACTTAAAAGCTTTTATTGAATCAATTCTATTAAAGGTCCTGTCTACCTGCGAATATTCCCAGAAATCTCTCTCTTCCAGAGATTTTTCTCCTCAGTAGTCTCTGAATAATCCTTCTCTCTGTTCCTCTTTGCCTTCATTTACGGTGAAACAAAATTCACAAGATACCTCCAAACAGAATAGCATCAGTTACCTAGAAAAATGGAAAATGAAAACTGAGCCATCCCACTTTTGTGCCCTCTCAGCTCTCTCCTGCTGACAAGCATATTAATGAGATTTCAGTATCAATCGCTTCAAGAGCCAAACGGAAATCAGACCCATACCCTGGATGCCGATGTAGCCGCAGCATTCAGGGAGCGCTACCTGGGGGTAAAGCTCTAGGACAAGCTGGATCTCGGTGACCCAGCCTTCACCACCTCCTTCAGGATGCCACCACCTCCTCTGAGGAAACTCGGACAAGGGGAGAGCGAGCAGGAAGGCAGTTCCGACCCGCCAGTTAGACTAAATAGAGGGTTCTGATCACAGAATGTTTGGGGTTGGAAGGGACAAAAGATCGTCTAGTCCACCCACTCATGCACTTGGAATCTGCACAGTGGCCGGTCCGGGTCCAGCTCTGTGCTTTGTGTGTGCTGCAGATAAAACTCTGGAGGAGTTTAAGGAGTTACTGAGTGATTCAGAATAAAAACTAGACAAGGACATTGGATGTGTAGGAAAAACAGTTACGTGTAAAGTGCTGTGCAAAGACATGGTTGCATATAAAATTGGCATGCTGGAATTATATTACGGAGTGGTTGCCGTGGTTCTTCTTGAATAACAGAAGTGTTACGACATGCCAGGACACAGACCCGTTGCAGAAGATTGCGTTCTGCAGGCTCCCTGCTTTCAAACAAGCCTGTTGTACAGATGTTTTACAAACTGTCGCCAAGCTCTCTTAGAGATGAGCTGTAACACTAAGGATTTGACAGCTTGCAGTCATTCAAAATACTGTAACTACAGACTGTCAAAACATCAGTGAACATTTTTGTGAAAGTGTAGAGATATTTCAAAACTGCTTTTTACACCTCTTTAAGGCAGGATGGTGATGCAGGTTCTGGTAGAAGTGCATGTGTTCTGACTGCCTGGAATTCTCCTCCATATTTCCAAACAAGGTCCTGATTATTTCTGAATGTAAAACTGAATATAAATAACTGTTAGTAGGTGAGGCCACAGATACTGTTTTACTGTAGATATGTCTGTACCTCACTGACTAGAACACTTCACTGCACCAGAATCCTGCACATTAATTTCCAGCTGCCTTTATGCTTTGGATTATGTGCATTCAGGATGAGACGTTTCAAGAATATTTCAGAATCTGCCTGGTTCAGCTGGAGTCAATGTTGACAAAACCACAAAAAAGATCTCAAAAAATCATCTGTTTTCACTGTAACAGTCACTGATTCAAATGCTTTAATACTGCTTGTCTCCTGCTTGCTTATCTCTGCTCACATTTGCCCTTCTTGTAAACAAAAAGAGCTCTGCGCTGTTTACTGCCCAAATATCACTTTTTGGCTTTTGATCCTTTCACAGGCTTCTTTTTCTTTTCTTTTCCTTTTTTCTTTTTGTCCATCATACTTTTAAATGCCAAGAAAGCTCTAAGCCCCTTCTCGTTCATCAACTGACGCCACAACCTTCGGACCTGAAAAAGAGAGAACAACAGTCTGGTTACCTGGAGGGAAAGGGTAAAAACAAACAGTCGTGTGAACTGATCTCGAAAGTGAAAATCACTGAACAGAATTGGGTTTGTTTAGCTCAAACTAGGACAGGAACTGTAGTACTGGTGGGTATTCTTGAGGTAAAAAGCCAGACCCATTGTGGTCTCCAAAACCCCATTTTGTTCTCTATTAGACTACACTGTTTGCAGCTAACATTGACTGCCAGCCAGTGACTGTTCTTTTGCTCTGTATTATTTTTTTCAAGAGGAATTTCCTACCAGGGAGGACACTAACACTGTAACCCTCCAGATCCTTTGATTAGAGTAATAAATTACTGTGTCTACACATCTTTAAATGTCACCCTTTAGTTCAGAAGAATAATTTGGGAGAAACACAGTAGTTCATGATGAAATTATAGACGTTACAGAACAAGAGGAATAATTTAGATTCAGAGGAGTCAAAGGCTGAGAATTTTCCTTTTCCTTCCTTCTTTGCCCTGTATTTTTCCTGAGCAAATTAATGCCGTGGCCCACTGGTGATATAGACTGATGTTCTTTGGGAAAATAAGCAACCAAGCCAAAAAAAACAACACACAAAGAAAATGTTTTGTTCAGTATGTTTGCACGATGGATCAGTCAAAATACAGTCAGCCAGAGTGAAGATGCCACCTGCAGTGAGTTTCATCCTTAGGCAATGCCTTGACTTAGAGGATCTGACTTGTTTGTAGACACACGAACCGTTCCCCTTCCACTGGACAAGGAAAGCTCCGGTGCAGGTTGCAGGGGCTGTTCCGTGCTTGCTTGCAGCGACCTGGTGGGGCAGTGACAGCCTCCTGGTACGGTTCTGAGTGATGCCCAGTGCTGTATTTCCTGCTGGTCTCCTATATCCTACCTGAACGTGATCAGTGATAGAAGTACTGCTCTGCTCTAGCTGATCAAAATGATGCTTTAAGATGTGTTTGATGTTGCATAGAGTGCCCTATAAGTTGTTGTGCAAACTGTGTATTACTAAAACCACAGCTTTGCATGTGTATTGTGGTGGCTTTCTTAACACCCTTACCTTTAATTTTATGGCCTTTTTACGCCTTTTTTCCTTTAAGAATTCCCAGATGGCAGCTTTCCCCTGACAGCACACTTCTATCGGAGGGTTTGCCATAGGGTTCCCATCCACAACCACCACCTCCAGCTGCTGAAGAGTGTCCAGATCCTCGGGCAGCTGGGACAATTGATTGTTCTGGATGAACAGTTTTTGCAAACCTGAACACGCAAAAGCAAACAGCTGCAGCACAAAGAAGGGGAATGATGTGGAGAATTCCTGCATGCTTCCCATAAGCAGCACAGGGGTAAGGCACAAACAATTCAGTCTGTGCGCGGAATGAATGCGTGAGTTGAGCATCTCACCAGAGCATTTAAAATTCAAAGTATCCGCTTGTGAATATCAAAGGGTGGGACTCAGACCCTCCTAGAAAAGCATTTCCTTCACTAGATGAAGGCTACTCACGTAGCAGCCAGGTCGATAAATTCAACTTTTAAAAGTCCTGCCAAGCAGCACACCAGCAGTGCAAGTGAACTTAGCCACACCGAGGCACAGTGGAGAACTGGGAGAGATGGAAAGACCGGGCTGGAGAGCATGACCCGAGAGCCAGTTCCACACTACTGTCCTGGAGTCGCTCAGGCTGACCCAGCAGGTCAGGCAGTCTGCTTCCAGCTGAGCTCTGAGAAATATCTTTTTCCCCAGACCCCGAGGGTGAGGTAGGTCATGGGTGAGGGCCTCCTGTCCACTTGGCGTGGGTACAGCACTTCCCCCATCCTTCCAGTTCCTAATTTTTATGCTGTTGGGCTCCCTTACAATTACAGGATGAGCCCTGAAGGATGCACTGTGTTCCTTCTTTCCCTTCTCTCTCTCTTTCTTCCAGAATTCTTACTGGTACTTGTGTCCATAAGGGCCACAAGCACAAAGAGTATATTTTACCTTCCGCTTGGCATATGGAGTCGGGGAGCTCCTTAAGGAGGTTGTTGCTACAGTCAAGTACATTCAAATGGGTCAACAAGCTGATGGTTGCAGGTAGGTACTCCAGGCAATTGTTCTCCAGATGCAGTTCTTTCAGATGCTGGAAAATATGTGTGCATAAGTTTTAATAATTAAAAGATTTTTCCTTAGCTTGATGTGTAATCAATGTACAGAGAGTATCAGTAAGCGCGGAAGTAAGGTTTATGAACTGCGATCCCATTGGGATGACTACTAAACACAAAGAGACGACAGGAGTTTCCAATGCTGAGTTTTGATACGGTAACTATTCTGACATCTCTGGCCTGATGCTGCACCATGTACCTGAAGAGATCAGGAGAACTTCCAGTCCTGCATTTGAGAGCAGCTGGAGTCCACAAAAGTGCCACACCACAGCAGACCAAGATCTTCTCCCTTCTCTTGCTCCTACCTGCAATTTGCTGATGTCTTCTGGCAGGCTCGTCAATTTAATTCCTTTTTTTTGTCCCAGGTATAATTTTTCTAATGAATCCAGAAGAAAGATTTCCATTGGAAAGACACTGAATTGGTTTTCAGACAGGTTAAGGCTTTTCAAATTTGTCAGTTCTTTCAGCTCCGCGGGTATCTAGACAGTCATTAAAAAGATACATCATGTCAATTAAACAGTAATCTTTGGGAATTTGTTTTAGGGAAAAATGTCCAAGAAAATGCTGTGGAGCTGCTTTACTGTTGATGGATGAACACAAAATGTTCTGCTCATTAAGGTAACATTATACCTCGCAGTACAGTGAAAATTCTGCAAAAAGATCCACTTTGTTTCCTCTGCTGGAAAGATTTCTTATGGGGTTTATTCTTAGCAGAAACATTATTCTATTTCATTTGCTTTGTATGCTCAGTGCAGGCAAAAGTAATTTAAATGAACAAAATCTGAAAATGATTCTTTTGCATAAATTATGACTTCTGTAAATGTAACCTTCAAGAAGAAAATTGCATAAGTGAAAATTTCCTTGGAAAAGAAATGTTGCATTATATAAAAATGAAGGTGTATTCTGAGCACTTAAATGAGTATGTCCGTGAATACTGTTACGCTTACAGTAACACACCTTTGGAGTACATAATTGTTCATTACCAAATGAATGGCAAATGTTAGTGGCATTAACAGCATCACAGCCATTTTTAAATTGCCCTCTGCTCTGTCTCAGTTTGTGACGTATTGATTCTAAGCAAATGCAGCTCTTCTTTTCCAGTGTGCAAAGAAAAAAAAAAAAAGATGCACAAAGACTGAAGCAATCCTTCCAGTCAGTATTTCGGCTTTACGATTCAACACAAAGGTCAGTGTTTCCACATTCTTGCTATTCTCTCCCTGCCTCAATACTCAGGTGTCAGTGATAAGGAGAACCTGGGCTCAGGTGCACACCAGGTGGAACATTTCTCTTCAGTGTTATAGGGAAGGTTTGTAATGAAGAGCTTAGATTTTTGCAAAAGTGGAGGGATCAAAAAAAATAAAAATGAAAACAAAGGAACAAATACCTCCTGTATCTGATTGTCATCCAGGGCCAGTACTTCTAGATTTTTCATCATGCTTATTCCTTTAGGAATCTTACTGAAGCAATTTTCACCCAGATCTAGTATCCTGACGCTGGTTAATTTGGTGAAGGACTTGGGTACTCTGCGCAGTCCAGTGTTCCTCAGATAAACGTGGGAAAGGGAAGGCCAGCAGCAGATCTGCTGTGGGAACTTCTCCAGGCTGTTAGCAGACAGTTTGAGTACTCTCATTTCAGTGAGATCCTTCAAACCTGGGGGAAGCTTGTGCAGGAAATTATGAGACAGATCCAGCAGATCCAGCTTCTGGCAGCGTCGCAGTGTAGGAGGAATGATGGATAAGTTATTAAAAGCTAAAAATAGCTTAACTAAGTTTGTCAAAAAGCCTACCTCTTCTGGGATGAGACTGATTAGATTTTGTTCCAGATCTATTATTTCTAAACTAGCAATATGACAAAGCTCCTTGGGAAAGCTTTCAAATCTGTTTTTCCGGAGGTAAATTTCCTTGAGTTTTGTCAGGTTCACTATTTCTTTAGGCAGAGACTTGAGATTATTGTCAGAAAGGCCAAGCAGTTCAAGGTGATGGAGGCGCTTACAGATCTGCACTGGGATTTCTTGCAAGTTTGTTTTATAGAGCCTGAGCCGACGAAGGGACTGCAACTTGCTGATAACTGACAGTGAACTGTAGGAGAGGGGGTTGTTACTTAAATCTAAGCTCAGAAGATATTTCAGCTGCCCCAGTTCTTCACATAGGTCCTGTATGTGGTTCTGATCCAAGTAGAGGATCTTCAGGTGCCTCAGGTTATTGATGCCCCTGGGGATGCTTGTTATCTGATTCTTTTCCATGTGCAGCTCTTCCAGATATTCTAGACTGAAGACCTTTGGTGAGATGGTTTTCAGTTGCTTATTGGCTAAATCGATAAAAAATATCTTGTCTGTGACGCTTGTGGGAGGACGAGCTTCGTTCCCTGACATCTTATTCACTGGTATTTCTTGTGCAGTCTCAACATGGTCATCCTCAAAACCAACGGAGTCAGCTTTAGGGTGGTGAGCGTGCCCTGTGCTGGCCTCCTGGCTCTGCTGAGACTCAGCCATCTCTGCTCCTAATTTTTAATTTCAAAAGAGAGAAAAATAAAAAAATCAAGAATCCTCAAAGACCTTCCCATGCTAAATAAATACTGGAAGAATTCAGCAGTGAGGGACAGGTTCTGCTCTCAGTTGTACCCCTTCAAAAAGCTGTTTGTGTTCATCGAGATCGAAACCTGCAGCACAGACAGCGGGATCAAAGGTTTGAGTCCCAGTGCATCCCCAACAGCCAAATTCAGAGGGTGACCTTGTGATGTCAGGGGAGCTGGATGAAGCAACATTCTTGAGTCTTGAAGGCCTCTGTTTACAAATGCTGACAGATCTGTCTTCAGCTATGCTGACTGTAAAACTGGAAGAGACTTACTGTGAAAAGACGGAACCTTCTTCTGTAACACTTGGTGGTTTCTGAGCCCCAGAGATGCCAGTGCATCTGGTATTTGATAACCCTCCAAGTTTTACTGTTGCTGATAGCAAAAGAGCAGAAGGTGGGAAGGGCGACTACCTGACCGACCTCTGATGTCTGGACATCAGAAAGAAATCTTTTAGCTGGCATTTAAGGAATGATAAGAGAGAAGGTGGAGGTCAGGAGGCAGCTGTCAGTCATCTCCCACCTGACACCCTTTTCTCTGCCGCCGTAACCTTACCAGGAGGATCTCACGTTTCCAGAGATGGGCTGGTTCCAGGTACTGCCAAGACAAGAAAGAACTGAGCAGCCAGAGAAAGACTCATGCTGGTCTTCCCAGACTAATTGAAATGTTGCACAAGGGCGTTTTCTTTTTCGTTAGCTCTGAGTTCAGTACTCGGGAGCGAACCCCACAAGCCCACCTCCCCCTGCAGCAGTGAACTCAGTAGAAGGGTTTATTTGGCATAAAGGACCAGGATGGGCACCTTTGAAGTAACTGCTAATACATATAACCACGGAAATTTTGGCAAAGGCTCCTTGGAGACCGTGGGCAGACCAGTAAGTAAATATTCTGAGGGTAAACTGAGGAAACTCCCCTCCCTGGAGAGGCAGCCAGGCCTCTGCCACCATGGGGAGGGCCCAGCAGTGCTCCTGGGCTGGGCCCAGCTACCTTGGCCCCCTCCCTCTTGGTGGGGTGCCCGGGACGCTCTCCTGGGAGACAGGCTCCACCACCAAGGGTTGTGAACCTTGGAATAATCCATCTCAGCCACAGGGCAGAGCTCGCCCATGGGCCGGGCACCACAGGGAGAGGGTGCAGGCACTGATCGCTCAGGTAGGCCTGTGGAGGTCGGGGGCCTGGCTGCTTTTCAGGCTAAAAAAGACCTGCCTGCATGAATACTAATTCTCTGTTAGCTCGGATCCTTTGCCACAGTGGATCACAAACACATACACAAATCCACATTTTTTTTCCCCCTCCTTCTTTTCCTGCCTGTCTGTATCTGTTATTCTTGTGCTGCATACCAGGAGTTGTAACCCTTTTCAGACCGAGCCCATTTTTGTTGTTACGCAGAGGCTGGCACAGCAGCGCCTGGGTCCCTGGTGATGTTGCTAGGCTGCCCTTACGATGCAGTAACACTTTGTTTTGTTCCCCAGTAGGTCATGTCAGTTCATCCAGCTCTTCTCCAGCACTATGTGCAGACCTGCCGAAACCTGGGCCAACCTGAAAACCCCTTCATTGCTCATGTGCTTCAAGAAGCCGATAAAAAAGAAAAAACGTAAGTAAATAATGAATAGGATGTTTCAGATGCTTCTGAAAGCCTTAAGCAAGATAGCAGGACAAGGAATTAAACAGTGAGAAAGTTTCATGCAGTTTCAGGCTTAAACACAAATCATATTTAGCATTTACTGCTGAAGTTCTGGTTTGACTCATCTTGACATCATCTTGGCAGAAGTTTGTAGCTATATATCCCTTCTGGGCAGCTTTACAAGCAGTGAAGTGAAAAAAAAGTGAAAAATGTACAGGATGGTGCCTTTGTGTCCCTTAGAACAGCCAAACCCAGTGTCTAGTCATCCTACCTCCCTTCCTTTTGTCTCACTCCTGTTTAAAAAGCTCCAGTCAGCTTCCAACAGGTAATGTTTCCTTGAAGTGTCTCAGAATCCTGCCAGGCTATTAACCACTCAAACTCTCTATCATTATGTGGCCAGGTAGGGCTTCCTCTCATGGATGCTCCTGGGGTCAATGTTAGTTGTCCTTTGGAGACAAACCTGAGAAAATAAAGCGTAGGGAAATGGTTTGTGTTATATTTTGATTCTGAGGTCAGACAGAGTAAATAAAGGAAGGGGAAAGCGTAAAAAGGAGATGATGAGGTAACATCCAGGATTGTCTTTATTTCCATCTGCCCTCCCCTCATGTTGCTTCTCCTTGCTTTCTGTGCACGTGTGCTAAGTGTGGTGGTGCAGCTGTGCAGTGTCTTCCTAACACCCAAAAAGACAGTGCTGAGGTGCAGCTGACTCGCGTTGCCTGTCACGGTGTTACTGAAGGTAGCGGCAGCAGCTAACTGCATGCAAACGCATCAGCCGGGGCAAGCATGGGTGCACTTCTTATCTGGAGGGAGAATTATTTTTTTTCTGTGTCATTTTACTGCTCCCCACCTGCTTCTGTTTTTGTGTTACGGCAGATGGACAGAAGGGATCACATTAAAAATAGCTGGAAATAATAATGTAGTGCCCGTGCAGAGGGTTACAGACGATGATCTTCAAGTTCTTGCCTCTGTGTTACGTAATGCTGCGCTTGTCACAGGTAAGCTTTTTTCCTGCGCGCTTGGTATTGCTGGGCTAATAGGAGAAAACGGGCTGGATTTCAGCCTTAGTTAATCTTTATTTCTCTAAAAAAGAAAACAATTTGTCATATTCTTCATTCTTCGTCTTTTTCAGGTTTGGACCTTAGGTATAATGTATTGACTGATGCTGGAGCAAAGGACGTGGCAACGTTCCTCAAGGTGCCAAGCTGATGTTTGTCTTTCAGCAACTTGTAATTTATTTGGCTGTGATAATAATTACATGTGGTGTATTGGAGACAAGAATACATTGTTTTGGCAAAATTCTGTTAATTTTAACTTTTACATCCCAGTCCATCCTGCTAGAACCTCAGACTGTATTCTCTGGGGAGATTTTTAATTTCTGGTAGAAAACCTTTGGCCTGAGTTTCCTGAAGAAAGAAGAGTGGAATAAACTGTGTGCCAGGGCCTTTGTTTTAGATACTTTATCGTCTCTTGTTAGCCTTTTTGTAGGCCTAGACATAGGAAACTTTCGGGCTGCTTTTTTTTGTCATTGCAAGCACTAGAATACAGATAGCAAATGGTGAGTTGCCGCTTGGTGTCTGTGTTCCTAGAGCTCAGGGAGTGCTATTAGGTTCACAAAATGCCCAGAGGTCTGCATCCGAGCGTGACCACCTGCCTCCTCTGGTCATGCCGAGCAGACGAGTCCCTGGGTGGTTTCTGTAAGCCTGTGAGGACCTATGCACTACGTATTTTTCTGCCTTTCCTTCATCATCTGACACACTTTGGCATTCTTTACTTCTTCAAATCAGGGGCTGCCTGGAATGCAGTGAAGGACAGAGGTTTTAAGTGTATGTATGATGCATACCATTTTGAAAAAATGCAGGCATGCTCTGGAAAAATGTCTCATTGGTTTCTGCTTTGCTTCTTCCTAAGGAAAACTCCACTCTGCGGTACCTTAACCTGATGTTTAATGATATTGGTACAAATGGAGCAGAGCTGATAGCGAGAGCACTCCATGTGAGTATTTGTCCGGGAAATTTAGACAATGGCATCTAGTTTGATCTTTTTATTTTTGATGAGCAGTACTGGCTGTCCTGCCAACATCAGAGCTAGCTGAAAGAGATCTCTCTCTTCGGTCCATTCAACATTTTGCTGTCTCACAGGGACTGCCTGTTTTCCGAAGGCAGACTTCAGAAATCAGATTTCACACAAGAGAAAGTTGCCCTGTGCTGCCATTAATGGTTAATTATCACAACTATCACAGCTGGATTCTTCTGTGAGGAAAATACTATAGTATAGGATATATAATGCCATTGTTTTTTCATTTTTTTTTTTTAAATTTTCAAACATTGCATTAAATTTGCCTGTACTTTGATGTCAATATTTGTCTTGATTCAAGATGTCCAAGATATGTTTTCAAAACGTTGCCTTACAGCAGCAGCATAAAAACATGTTTGTTATTTTTAATGTGGTTTCCCAAGGAAATGAGGCTTGTCTGTGAGATTCGTTGTGTTTGCAGAATGAAGCTCACACGAGCTTTTTCTTCCTCTCTCGTAGCCTTTGAACTCTGAACTGATTTCAGCTGAATTTGACAGGCCTCTACAAGGTTGTGCTGTAGATTGTACAACGCTGGGCTCACAGGCAACCCCCAAAGCTGTTTGTGCAGCCCCGTTATGGCGTTTGCTGAGCGGGCGGGTGGCAGGACCTGACCACCGAGCTGGGCAGGGAGGGTTCTGGGGGTGAAGGGGGTGTTCTATGGAGGAGAAGGGAAGGAGTTGCTGTAGCAAGGTGCTGCAGCACAGGAAAAGGGTACTGGGGGCACGTGGAAGATGTAAAGCCGTATGAAAGCAGGCTTCATTAGTTCTGTTGCTCACAGGACTATTTTTATAGTCACTCAATCAATTATAATCTGTGGTAATGAATGATTACAGCAGTGCTGAGGAATTAAAAATACAAAACTACTCTGTGTTGCATTTAGGGCTTTAGCGGTGGATATATCCACTGAAATTCTGTTGAGGGTGGGGAAAAGATACTGACTTCTCTATCAGAACTTTGTATTGCAGTGAAGTCCCCAGCACAGACGTACACGCTGGCTTGACTCTGCACCACGGAGTCCCAACGAAGGCACCAGCTTCACTGAGCTTTGACTGGTCATATGATTTAAAAGACTACAATATGCATTTCAGCTGCTGATTTAGGCAGAAATATCTGCCTGAATTATTTTCATGAGTGTGAAATTTGTGAACTTGAAAGAAACAAAAGTTTTCAAATACTCAAAATTTTGCTTCCAGACTCTCATGGATTTGATTCCCCTGTGGGGAGCCTGAGCCAACTGCTTAGTCAGCGTTATCACTTAGTTCTTCTAGAGGGATGTTTTGTCTTTATGTGACAACCAGCAGAATCTGCATAAAAAAGACAATGTTGTTTTTCAGGCCATTTGAAAGGAATTGATTTTTTTTAAAAAATAATTATTATTTTGTCTAGAGGAATGAAACACTTGTGTATTTGAGAATGACTGGAAACAGAATAGGAAACAAAGGTGGAATGTTCTTTGCTTCGATGCTAAAAATTAATTCAACCTTAGAAAAGCTGGATCTTGGAGACTGCGATCTGGTGAGTAACCCGGTAAATTATCAGCAATGAGGAGAATCTTTGAAGGGTATTACAGAGGTCCAGCAGTGCTTAGATAGGGGAAAATACCATCTGTTGACATTGATTTTACCTTTTGTGATAGCTGGAGGTGACGCAATGTATAATATTGCTGTGCGCACGTGGAAAGGCGTGTGTTGCATGGAACACCTGTGAAGTCATAACTGACGATATATTAGAGCCACCACGTCCTCAGGTGCTTGGCTTTCATATTTTCCAAGGTTTTTTGCTGTTCATTTTTGTTACACTGTCTAAGATCCATGTGATTCGTGTTGAAGAAAGGGCTTCTTACTCCCTGGAGGCTCTTTTCCTTCTCAAGCGTGCAGTGCTGTAACACCTGAAAGTCGCTCAGTCCCACAGCTCTGTTGCTCCTGCCAGAGCTCGATCTGTGAAGGACGTAGGCACAAGAGCGCTGAATTGAGTAGAAAGACACTCGCTTTCATCTCATGTAACTTGCCACCTCCTAGAGCTGGGCACCGACACTTCTTAACACAGTGCACAGGGCAAGTCAGGAGGGTAGAAGAGGGTCAAGGCTCTAAGCAGAGCGCTTCCCGCTCCAGCCAGTGTGGAAAGCTTCTAAAAACCTGTGGGATACGGCGGTTGGAGCTGCAAACTTCCTCCTGGTGGGAGGTCACAGCGCCTCACTGATGGGATGGCTTTGTGTGATCGCATCACAGGGGCCAGAAGGTGGAAGTGGTTCTTCTCCCTGCCTGGAAGGATTTGGTCCTGTGCCTTGCACTGCAGGAGCACGCTCTAACCAAGCTAGAAGTGAAATTAAGATGGGCCACTCCTCCTTCCTGTTAAGGGTGTTCATCTTTTCAGGAGATAATGCAGTATATATTGGGCAGAAGGATTAAATTTGACTGTAACCTAACAGTTACAACTGTCACCTGGAGGCAGGGAGATTACTGGGGTCAGATGAAAATTTTAATATATTTCCTGGAATTACAGAAGTTGCTCCTAAACTAGAAGGGAAAATACTTCTCAGAAACTGTAAAAGGTGTTATGAAAACATAAACGAGGAAAGTGTAGCCAGTGTAGGATTTATATGAAACCTTAATATGTTTATGATTTGTAGGGAGTTGATAGAAAACTGAAATAGCTTTGGGTGTACACCAGCCTAATTAGAAAATAATGTGAAGGAAATAAATAAAAAAATCTTAACTGGCCTCTGTTCTAAACTATCACATTAATTCACGTTTAGTACGAATTTACTTAGTGGATAACTGTTACCTGAGGCTTTTACCAAAGACCTCAGGGAACACATACAAGCTGATTTTAATTCATAAATTAGGAAAACCAAAATACAGCATCAATTAAGTGGTCGAGTATCTTTGAGGTGCATTATTCTTGCTTTTTATTCTGAGTTGCCAAATTGCCTAGTAATTTGTACTTCCTAGTCCTGTTCCATTCTATTATTCCATAGGGAGTTGGCATTTATTATGAGAAAATACACTTGTGTCTCTGAGCACTTGTGTCTCTTCAGAGTACATGGAGGCAGAAGCAATAGTATTTCCAACCTGAGCCCATTTGATGGTTTTGATCTTCTGACAATCAGTTCTAAGAAGTCCTGGTAATTTGGTAGCTTGATCTGTGTGTTGGACGGGCTTCTCTGAAGAGTTTGTTTATTTTCATTTCCAGGGCACACAGTGTCTAGTAGCGATAGCAACAGCCCTGACTCAGAACAAATCACTCAAAGCAATAAACCTAAATCGTCCTTTACTGTACAGCCAACAGGTACGTCCACGGCCTGGGGTGTCAGCTCAGTCCAAGAGAGAAGCGTAAGTAAAATCTGTACTGATGTGCATTCGGACAGCTGAGCTGCACAGTGCGCTGGGTTTCCTTACCTAGTGATGGCTGCAGAAATATTCTTCTCTTTCTGTGCCAAGTTTTGTGCAGTTGCAGGCTGCCCCTGTTTAACTAGAAGATCAATTTTTAAAAGAATTATTTCTTTGTGCTTATGCATTTGTTAAATAATGAGCTAATGGAGACGGCTTGGTATTGGTGAACCAAGTATTTCTTCTGCTGTTACAGCACGGCGAGTTTCATTCATTGTTTAGCAAACTGAGGAGAAATGCTGTTTAGCAGGAAATGAGGGGAAGAACAACAGGCTGCTTTCATCTGGGTGCTGCGATACCTGGGCAATTGCCAGCGCCCGCAGCCTGAAGCGCGGCACACTTCAACAACATGTGTTCGCTGGGCTTGTGTGGTTTTCTAGTTTCTCTAGGCGAACCTGAAGCATGAATTTAACAGGTGATCAGCGCAAAACTTAAGGCGCATTTGTTATCTGAAACAAAGACACAAACCCAAAGCAGTCGAGCGCCGAAGAGAGAATCTGCAAGGCACCACAGGCTGCTGGCTGCGGGCCAGCACGGGGGGCCGGGGGGCTTTGCCTTGCAGGCACCTATCGAGCTGGTTGTGGTAGTGGTTTCACCAGACTGGCAGCAGTTGCCATAATTGTCTTGCCTAATGATAGATTAGCATCATGACAAAATATTTTTAATATTAGTGAAGACTCACTCCAACATTCATTTTTTTCAAGAGCAATGACTAGGAGGAAAACTGATTCGATGTAATGAATCAAACATTGATGCTGCTTATATTTGCAAGGGTGTATCTGGTACTATAAATCTGCAAATATCTTTCTGGGTTGTTTCTATTTTTTTTTTAATCAGCATTACCATAATATATTGTTTCCTGGTTATTTTTAATTCAGAGCTGTAATATGCAAAATAGAACACTAGTGCTGACCAAATCTTTTTGCTAGTTTTACATCTCCCTTTTACTGAAGTGAGACCATATCTTATCCTAAAGTACAGCTGAATAAAACTGTGTATTTTTAGGAAGAGACCACAGCTCATGTAGCCGTAATGTTGAAAAGTAACTCTTCTCTTGTGGAACTACACCTGCGCAAGCACGAAATGAAAAACTTTGGTGTAGAACAGCTGTGTGAGGCTTTGTATGAAAACTCCAGCCTGAAATATCTTGATCTTAGCTGGTAAGAGTTATTAAGTGATATAGCCCTGACTAACATTAGAAATTGATTTTCTGAGCACCTTTTTAAAAAAATGTGTGCATCTCTCTTTCAGTAATAAAATAACCTGTGACGGTGCAAAATTTTTGGGACAACTACTAAAATGTAACCAAACCCTGGAAATCCTAGATCTTAATGCAAACCGAATAGGAGATGATGGAGCCATCTACCTGAGCGAAGCCTTGGCCTTGTACAACAGGACTCTTCAGGCGTTAGTATTTACGTACCTTCCCCAGAGGCTGCAGGCGTTGTGACTCTAGAGCATAAGAAACTTGAACTTTGCAGTGGCTGAACTGACAAAGCTGTGGGCTTTGATGTCGATCAGGAAGTTTCAAACTTTCTGGTCCATTTTTCCTTCTCGGGGTGGGAGAGGGAACACTGTGAGTAACATGGGGTGGGATTCCTTTCCCCAAGCATAGGTGTCTCCTGCTGTGTTGAGATGTCCTAAGACCTGTGAGACATCCCACGTGCTGGCAGGTGAGCCACAGGTCCTCTCAGAGCCCTGCAGCTGGAGACCAGGCAGGACATACTAATGCATTTCAGACGGTGCAGAAGGCCTCTGTTTGGTGACTTAATGACTGTAGCTTCACGTGAGCCAGAGGTGACAAACACGAGGTCAAGACACACCCAGTCCCATGTGCCAACGCCTCATTGTCACCTTCCCACAGTGCCAGGCCTATTCCTAACTCATCCTCTTTTTTATGTACTTCCTTTTTTTTTTTCATCTTTTCAAAATATCCATTGCTGACATATGCTTGCTCTTCTGTTTCGGTTTTTTGGGGAGTTGACGCTTAGATCAGTGTTGTAGTGGGTCATCTTACGTGTGATTCACAGCTTCTACAGTGATTCTAAGGGGTGCGTGTAGGGGAAGGCAATCAGGTCTTGTTACCTCTTTCTGCATCTTTAAAGCATACGTCCCTGCGGCGCACAAACGAAAACAAACAAGAGCTGTCACAATTTTAAGATAATCAGATTCCCTGCAGGGATAAGGCACTATATTTGTTGATTCTGATCTTCAACACGGAAGAAAATCCTCTGTTTAAGTTAGCTTCCAGGTGAACCCAAAAGCGCTGTAATCTCCCCGTCGGGGTGTATTCTGTAGCCCGCGTTAAGCTCCGCGCCAGCAGGATGTAAAAGCTGATCAAAGGTGTTACCTGAAGCCATTAGTTTTAAGTAGCAGACTGAGGAGGTGGCGGCTGCTCGGTGCCTCTGAAAGCCTTCCAGGTTCACTAATATAAAAATAACTGCCACTCCGCAAAGATCAAAGCTAAGCCTGGATAAGTGCCAAGGGTTAGGCTTCAAAGCAGACTAGAGATGAGACCTGGCCACCACGCAGTAGGTCACTGACACCAAAGAACCGAATAGTGAACAACTTGGCTGCACTAGTCATGGAAAGGCCTTGAGAAATAGTACCAATCCATAGCTCAAACTGCCTGTAGCAACCTGAGGAAGATTTTGTAGTAGGACTGGCCTTGATAAAAACAAATAACCATATTATGAATAACAAATATAAAAGTTATAATATAACATATATATATTGTAATAAGAGATGGGAATCCTGTGGTTTGGTGCATGTTTGCATAACTATCTTCTCTATTTATTAGGTTGTCAGTAGTAAGCAACAATATAAGTGGCAAAGGACTTGTAGTTCTTTCAGATGCAATGAAAACAAACATGGAACTTTCCTATATTTACGTCTGGGGAAACAAATTTGATGAAGCCAGCTGTACGGTAAGTGTTTCCTTCTGAAGTCCTCTAAGAGGCTTAGGTTTTGTTTGTTTGTCCTAATTTGTTTTTACAATCATTGGGAACACTACAGCAATTAGTGAACAAGATACCTGTTTTACGATGTTGGCTTTTTAAAAAATAATTATAATATGGTGGTGGTGTAACGAGACTCACTGGACATCAGCATACTGAAATGATCAGTGCTCTCCTACTGCATGGGCTCTCTGAGAGCTCTCTTAGAGCCTTCACTGCAGTCAAAGTGAAATACTCTGTGTCAGATTCTGGCTCTTACTCATTTCAGGCATTTTCAGAATTAATTCAGACGGGCCGCTTGAAACCCAATTGTACAGACGTGGAACCCTATGAAGTGGATGGGCACGTTTGCCTCGCCGAGCTCTCGCACGGCCTTCAGAAGCATTACTACTGGACACCACGTTGTGGGGAGGTGACAAACAAAGATGCTAATGCCAGCCTGGCGATTGCCGCTGTTTCAGAACACTTGTGAGTGAAGTGGCAGCTTGATACACTCCATAGGCTTGAGCTTTTCCTATCTTATTTCTAGTAAAATACATTCTAACAGTATCAGACTTGCCACATGTTGTTTCCTCAGGGTCTTCAGGAGGAATCTAAACCCCCTTGAAATGGCACTAAAGTATTGAACCAATGACCTTAAAATTTGCTGCTAAATAATGCCCAACCAATTAAGAGTCTATCAATATGAAAATGCATTAATTTTGCTGCAGTCACTTACATCACACGCTATCTCCTTTGCCTTTCCATGGTTTAGCTGCAGTTCCAGGGTTTCCAGGGGAAAGGACGTGGTCAGAGGAAAACATTTTCACCACGGCACAGCGTGTGAGGAGTGACACGAGGTATTCTTAGCAGTAGTGGGGAGTAAAACAGTCACTGCCCAGAGGCTTGCGGAGTTCGGACAGCAGCAGTGCGGATGCAGAAATAGACCTCCTAGCAGCTGAACTTCGGACACCTTCTCTCTACTTAGGACACCTCAGATCAGAATTTTTATCAAGTGCTTCTCACTGAAGAAAGGTGCAGGGGCTGGATCAGAGCAGCCGCAGAGCCTGTGGGTGGAGTAGCATGGCCACGGGGTCCTCTTCCACAGGGCCGCCGCAGAAGAGCTGCCGTTGCCCTTCCTGGGCTGTGATCTCTGCAGTCAAGTTTCCGCAGAGAAACTGAGAGAGGAGAACCCACGGGTGCTGTTACTGCATCTCCAAAGGCCAGAGAACAAACCTGACACGCACACACCTGGCACTGCTGCCGGGCAGCACCTTTGCTTGACAGCAAATCCGATGTGCTGTAGGACCAGATTCCTGAGAGAGAGCTTTGGGTAAATCCACTTGTTGCTACTGTGCTCTACACACTCTCTCCTTTTACTTAGTAAGTGCAGCTTTTTAATCGTTTTCTAAGAGTGACTTTTGTTTTAAACCAAGTTCATTTATCTTAAGTGTTAAGCCACTATAATGCTGGAATTTTAAAGCTACGTTACTGGGATATAAACGGTATTTTTATTAATAACTTGCAGCATGCGTTTTTTTTCCTGTACTACAAAGGAAAACCGCTGTCAAACTTGGTGTTACTATTTCTTCCTGTCTCCTGAAAACTGCTGAAAAATATTTCTATCGTTTCAGCCATGCGGCAACTCCTACATGCAAATAAGACAACATAAGCGTTCAATGGTAGTTCAACATCGTTTAATGATTCGGATACAAACTTCATGGAACTTTGGGAATCACTCTGCTCATTTCCTTTTTCTACCCACTCTGCTCATACCCATAGAAGTGACTAGATCTATGCTCCTAAGTAGAAAAAGTCACCAAACAGGACAACAGAGGTTTACTCAAAGGCTTCCACTACTGCAGTCTTCTGCGTGTGCCTGTTGAAAGCTAGTGTTACGTAACAGAATAATCTGTGAATGTACACGCACGCAGGTAAAAGACGTGTGAGAAGTATGTGGGGAAAAAAGGTAAGAAAGTAATTTCAACAATAAAACCTAAGAAGCAGTGATCTAACTGCTGATGTTCTGATTCTGTATCATCCCAACGGTAGCGCAGAAACAGGCCAAGCTGACATGACCAAGGTGGTACCAAGAGCTGGTGGAGGTTTTTTTTGTTCAGTTGGGTTTCTTTTTCCATTCCTCCCACCCCCAAATACAATTTGGTCAGGCTCTGTTGCTCCAAGAAGCACTTGGTATCACAAGAAGACTCAGCAGCAAGCCCACAGAGCAGGTGTGTTTGCTCTGCGTGCTGGCACAGGGCCGTCTTAACCTGTGGGCATCTCATTCGGCACAAAGTCCATACGCACATCAGGCCGCGAAAACCGTCTTCTAGAGAGGAGCTTATATTTTAACTATTGTCAAACAGGAAGAACAGCGCAACGAGGACAAAAGTTGAAGACGCACTGAATGGGATTGTTTGAGAAGTATCTGCAAGTTATGAAAATATCTAAGCTTTAAAATAATTAGAAAAGCCTGTATCATCAAAGTTGGTATTTTTCCCGAGTGCTGCTGCTCTGGAGCATTGCAGGTTATACTCCGATACTCTCAGTACTCGGACACTGGTGATAGAATTTCTTGCCAGAAAGACCACTCGATTCAGATCGAGGTGTATTTTTTTCCATTTATTTTTCCCGTGTTCTGCATTTAAGTTCAGGGTAACTTCATTACCCAAATTCTTAATTCGCTTGCATGAATTACATTTATTATCAGGGAAGCAAATCCACCAAGTCAGTCAAAACTCTACCAACAGCAGTATTTTATTTGCAGTAGGTGTGGTAACATGGCAACAAGATCATACACAAAATGTAACAGGATAAATGGCATCTACTCTCAAAAGTGCTAGTGTACGTTTTTGAAATATTTGTACTCTGTCTGGACCCTTGTTTAACAGCAAGATGCTTGGCCCATAAGAGCACTCTGCCTTATTAACAATATCCATAAAAATAGAGTATGTGTTACAGTTTACTTTCATATTTCTTTGTAAGAAAGGGCTGCAGAGTAATTCCTACCAAATCTCGTATAAATAAGTTTCCTGCAAACTAAAATAATTACGTGTGCAAAACCCTGTATTGCTTAAAGAGGCCTGAGCCAGAGACATTTATTGCTTTCCTTTCGCTGAAAACCAAACCTTGAAATTCTTAAAATATGTATCTTGTGTTATTTGGAATTAGACAATTTCCATAGCTTAGAATTTTTTGCCATGTTCTTCCGACAATTATTCTAGTAGCTAAATCTTCCAAGTAAATTATTCTAGTAGCTAAAGCAAGCATAACCCTACTCCCTAAACCATTATTTCAGCATCCAGAACTTGCAGTACCTTGCTGAAGGGTGGCATTTTTGCCCCAATTTAAAGGGAAGAAAAATGACTGATCCAGCAGGCCAGTGGTACAACACAGGTCCCTAAATCCTCTGAGTGCTCTAGTCACCACACCACCCCTTCTGTGAAATTCAACAATCTCGTAAAAATAAGATAAAAATTTTGGTATTCATTGAATATCTAGCATTAAAAGTGCATCTTCAAAGCACTTTGTATAAAAAAAACACAACACAACCTCCTAACAACATCCCCGAAACTCCAAACGCCTCCAAACAAATGAGAAAAAAAAAAAAACAACCACCTAAAAATCATTATACTAGATTGTATTTAGAATAAAGTCTGTGTTTGGTTTAGTTTAAACAGACCCAAGATATCTCCTATGAGACAAATCAGGTGTGTTTAGTGCCAAGAGGAAAACGTCGTAATCCTCGCTGTGCCAGCGTGCTGCGACCGCGCGTCCTCCCGACAGGGCGCTTGGCCGGGGGTCACATCACATCCGCTTCCCTCCCTCTTTTGTTGCCACCCCTTGCAGTTATAAACAGGAGACACAAGGTGAGGGAAAATTACAAAACAAGTTTATTAAAGTCTAACGTAAACCACTTCAGGCTAAATATGTACAACTCCCTCCCTTCTCCCAGGGGATTATAAAATTGAGAGTTGAGGTATATACAAATAGCAGAGGGAAAATTGTATATACATGAAAGATACTTTAAAAATAATTTAACCAAAAAAAATAGTTATTAGTCCTTAGCTGAACTTAATTCTGCAAGGCTTGCCGATAGCCTCTCCACAACATGGATACTCAACAATGGTTTTGAAACATTGATTTCAGAAAAGTTGTCACGCTTTGTGCCCACAGGCACAAATTTAGAAGTCGGTATCGTAATAGTTATTCTCATGTAAGTACTTCTGAACAGCCAAATTGGAGATTTCTAGGTGTGGATAACCCATTTAGGCAAAGCTTGCACCGACTTCAGTGCAAAACTGACTGCAACAACGATGTGGCAAATCCTGTCGTTTTCTCTAAATTACTATCAATGAAATTACTAAAATTCCCTCTTTCCTTTTGCAGGTAGATCTCAAGAAGGAGATGCCTGCCTAAAAAGATTCCATGCTTTCCCATATTAATCCCTTACAGAAATTATCAATACTGTTACAAATCTTGTACCTCCAGAATGGACTCAGAATCCTTAAGCCTAGAAATTAGATGTGCAGCAGCTGATTTCCATGCATCTGTTGGCAAAAGGTACAATGCAGACCTGCTCCTTCAAGTCCTACAGCACCCAGCCTGAACACACCTACAAATATTTCATAT